ACTGGTTGGCTAAGGCTAAAATGATTTATGCTTAATCTAGTTATAGGGTTGGCAATGGGCCTGGTGGCCTGACCCGGCCCAGTCAACCCAACCTTAAAAAACTAGGGCTTGGGACATGATATGTGGCTCAAGGGCCGGGCAAATGTAGTTTGAAGGTAGTGTTGGGCTTGGTCTTGGCCATATCCCGCCCGAGCCTCTTTTTCTTTATGTTTCCTTTTTATTTTATTTTATTTGGCCCTCATTAGCCCGGCCCTTCCTTGGCAAGGGAAGGGTCAAACCGGCCTCTTTGGCCCTGTTAGGGCCGGGGCAGGCCTAAGCTACCCCTATGAGGACTAGGGGTAGGCTAGGGGGCCTATGCCTTGCCGGTTGCCACCCTTTTTTATTAATGATCATTTACATCATTTTCAATACGAAAATAGTTTATATGAGGATGCTACCTTATAATGTAGAACTACGGATGTCTCTCAAAAATCCATCGGAAAAGGTAGTTTTAATGTTGAAAAACCTTTTGATTGATCATATCGACATCAAGATGTATGACTATGAAAAATAAAAAGATTTTAAGTCTCAGAAATAGTGCATTTTACAACATATTATCTACACCGTCCATTTTCAAGATTTTCATATGTTTATATATCTACTTGATTTTAACCATTTTTGAAATTTAAAATTTTATAATTAGATATATATTTTGAGATAATCTAAAAAAAAAAATTACACCAAAATTATATACCATAATAAAATTTGAAGGTGCACCTTAGCTCTACATCTACGGATGCATCCGTATGCAAACTGCACCCTTTCAACACATATGTAAAGTAGAAGTGACCCCGTCAATACATATGTAAAGTAGAAGGAGAAGATAAAAGAGGAAAATGAAAGAAGAAAAAGTCGGGTATAGAATTGTCAGGGCATCTTTGTATTTTGGTGTGGGTGCATCTAATAAAAAATACAATTCGCCTGGGCAAAAAATCTACGTTGTAGTTTTCATTCCACTGACACCACTTCACTAGCACCTTAAAAAACCTAACTCTTAAAATTATTTGAAACGTAGAGGTATGTCTCTACTAAATAACAAAAAAAAAAAAAAAAAAAAAGAAAAAGAAAAGAAAAGAAGAAGAAGGTACTATGGTGTGAGCCAACGACGCATCTATACAATCAAATGTGGTTTCCTATGGGAGCCTTTACAGGAAGTTTGGACCTAAAATGGGCCAAGACTGGAAGCTTTTTAATCCTGACTGACGACCATAGTAAATGAGCATGTATATTATATTCATGTGTAAGTATATGGTACACTTATTTAACTAGGGAAGATGGTCACAATTGATGTTGATCATTGGATGTAAATTTGGGTGGTTGTATCTATTCTATTGATCAAAATAAATTATTTCAAACTTTGTGATATACTTAAGCTATCAGATTTCACATCGGATGGTTACAAGTAGTTGTGTCTTTCTTGCATCAAAGGTACATGGTCTTATTGTATGTAATCCCTTTTTTTTTATTTGAACTTTTTGGGAATCACCTAAAAATATTTTTCTTTTTTTACAATATTGAACCACCTAAAAATTACAAGATTATTATTATTAGTAGTATTATTATTATTGTTATTGTTATTATTATTTGGCTAGATCAGTGAAGATTGCAGTCCCCTACACAATTTGGAACGAGTCAAGTTTTTGAAAGTACTAGTGAAAATAGAGGTTATGACTTTTAACTGGGGCTCAAATGGTACAACCACCTCAACCCTAACACTATTCTCACAATATGATTATATTCAAAAGAAGAAAATTTGAATATTGGATTTTCTAACTCTTAGATCTCACCCTTCAAAAATTAGATGGTTTCTATTCAATCTTGATGCATTGTTTTTTTGAAAAAAAATTTAAAAATAAGATGCATCTAAAAAATCCTCTAGAAAAGAGTGTTTCAACATTAGAAAACCCTCTGATCATTCATCTTGATCTTGAGATCTATGGTTATGAAGAAAAAAAGAATTTTAAATAATAATAATTTTTGTAACAAGTTATTTGGACTATCCATTTTTAAGTGTTTACAAATCTGCTTTATATGTAACTTTTTTTAACTTTTAAATTTCATAACCACGAAAAAAATACATTTTCAAGCGATCATAAAGTTTCCGACGTGAAACTACATCCCCAAGACAAAATTCAAAAGTACGCCTTACTATTACAAGGAGGGCGCCTTATATAAACCTCCCAAGCCCACAGACAATGCAAGTTAGAAATTATTTCTATTTTAGTATAGAACATGAGTTTATTGAGTATAGAACTATTGCATCCCTAAAATTTCGGATCCTAGAAATACTTGTAATTTGGGTTTTACCAAAGGTTAAATAGATAGTATGCTCCCTCAGGAGCATGAAATCTTTTTGCATAATTAAGAGAAGCTTGAACTTAAAAGTAAACTTCGAAAAATTTTATATAAGGTTGCAAATGTAGAATTACAGATGCGCCTAAAAAAGCATAATTAAGAGAAGCTTGAACTTAAAAGTAAACTTCGAAAAATTTTATATAAGGTTGCAAATGTAGAATTACAGATGCGCCTAAAAAATCCATTGGAAAGGATTGTCTTAATGTTGAAAAACCCTCTCATTATCATATCGACATTGAGATATATGAATATGAAAAAAGAAACAATAAAAAAAAATTAAGTTTTAAAAATAGTGCATTTTGCAACACATTATTACTTGGACAGTCCATTTTCAAGATTTTCATATGTTTATAATCTCTTTGATTTTAACTATTTTTGAAGTTTAAAATTTTATAATTAGATATGAAAATAGATTTTCAGATAATCCTAAAAAAATTTTACATCATATTTATATATTATAATAAAATTTGAAAGCGCGCCTTAATTGGATTGTTTAAGGTTGCCACCTTATAGAAACCACACCCTTTAGATTTTACTTTTTTAGTGATGCAAAAGTAGTTTGTGTCAGGGGATGCATAACCACATTTGTGTCCTAAGACATCACAAATCAATCTTTAAAGATGGTCGTGGAGTTATAATCGCTGCAATAAAGGGCAAAATTAACGGTTTAAAAATTTCCTTCAAATTTTTTTAGATTTTAAAATTCTTTTATTTTTACACACGTGATCTCCATGTCAAAGATTACATATGGAAAAAATTTATATAAGGTGCAACCCAATACCATAAAAGTAAGGTGAAAAGAGAAGTCAAAAAAGCTTTTCATCTCGACGACTTATACAAATATAAAGAAAAAAAGAATTTCAAATCCTAAAAATAATACAAATTATTTGCTCCATTTATTTTCAAAATCTTCAATTGGTAATAGATATCTGCATCAATTTTGAAATTTGAAATTTTATGATTAAAATTGAACATAAATTTCCAAGCCATCACACTAGAGCTGCATCTTCAGGAAAAATTTAGAAATGCACCTCACTTATATGGTATAAATTGGACACCTTATACGAAAGCTCAACCGTATTTAAAATATGAGGTCCAAAATCCATTTGAAAAATAAATCATAAAGAAGGGACGCATATCTGCAACCACAAGACCCATGCACCACTGTATTCTCTCAGGTTGGCCTAATCTGGCAACGGCAATGGAGTAAATTTCTTCAACTTCCATCCAACAAGTTAACAGGGATCGAATGAGAGTTGGATTCACGATTAAGAGGTCACATCATCTTGATTAGCACAACCATGACTGCATGGTTTCGGTCATATTGATCGTAATACTGCTTTTGCCCACTTATATAAAATAATAAAATCGACTACCTTCGTTAAATAATAAAATTCAGGGATGTTTGCTAACGCAAGCCGTACTGAGTTATGGGGGACTGCTCCATCCTACTAATGAACAGAAACAAAACAATAATACTTTTTTAAAAAATATATACAATAAGACCATTTATTTTTCATACAACAAAGGCATAATTATTATTGACTGCTACATTTGGAATCGGCTGATTAAGAATGTATCATTGATTGAATACAAAGTCCAATATAAAATTTCTCGAATATTTAACACTATAGATTTCACATGCAATAGCTATGACCTCTTTATACCAAAAGTGAATAGTCTTATATCATAATATAGAATCCCATTTATTTATCTTAACAATACTACAAAACATTGGATATCTGAACAATATCCAAGCTTTTGGCAAGCGGCTCTTTTATTTTATTTTTCATTATCGATACCGCCAATAGAAGCTTTCTTCCCATAAGTAGGATTAGATTCCTGAAATCACATTCTTGAACCCCAGGATGTTTGGTGCCACAGCTTCCAATACTATGGTTCTAGTGTTATGCTGTTTTGGAAGAAGTGTTACGCACTTGGGCTATTTTGAAAACTGCAGCTTCCAAAATAGCACAAATACAATGAAGTCACAGCTTCCATGCGACTCCATGGAAGCAGCTTCTGAAGTTGGTGGAAAAGGTGGCTCTCTCTTCAACCAACCAACCACCATATTCTTACGGCTTAGAAAAAATAGATGAAAATACAGGCTAGCATTACCATCTAAGTGGTCATCCAAACCAAACCAACGCAAATTAGATCAGCAACAAAACCTGCTTCCGTTTGGTTTAGGAAAGGAAAAGCATCTGCAAAAGAAAGAAGCCTCCTGGTATTCCTTTTAAGAACTTAGAATAACATTTAGAAACATAACATAGAAATGTGATTTTCTCGAAGAATCACCATTATCTGGAAAACATCTAAGATATTTTTAATATCGCATAAGAAGGATGTCCTTCAGTATGGAGGTTGAAGCCGATTTTGGCCTCTTCGGCCAAAGTGGACGCTAACTGATAACACTTGTCACCCGTAATGGTGCATCGACTGCTTCAATATTTTGATAACACTCATATGACTATATCTTTCTAAACCAGGATGAGTACAGCATGTATTAATCGTTCAAGTGATCATGAATTTTAGAGATGCACCATTCATCTCACAGCAGAAGCTCTCTCTCCAAAGAAAAGAAAAAGGTACCTTTGGAGCCAAAATTCAACAGAATAATCCAATTGATAAGAGTTTTAACGAACTTGATAAGATTTTCTGAACAACAAATTTCAACAATTAACTCAGCCAAAGGATCAAAAACATATCTTTACAACATCCCTTGACAGTTTTAAGTGTTCTGCCCAAAATTATTTGGTATCAGCCCTTATAAAGGAGGAGGACAAATAAAACAGGAGAAAGAAGCCACTTGTAGCTGCTGACCTAAATTGAATTAAGGACTAAGATACACATAAAGTTAAGAAGCCATTATGAAGGGGAATCCCACAAAGGCACATTCTCATACTCAAATGATGGGCTAAACAATTCCGGAACATTTATTCCTTTCAGCATCCAAATTTACTCAGAACCCAAGCATCCTCATTGCTGGGGGTGCTTACTAAATTACGAGCGCATTATTCCCTCCATGGACATGATATTCATGCAGTGGTGAGGGGGGACCGGGGGGGGGGGGCAGGGGGGTTGCGCCAGAGAGTGAAAGATATCATGGGGAGAGGATTGTGAAAGAATTATACAGAAACAGATTCAACACTTGCATTTGGATAAGGTGCTTTCTTATGCACTCCCTAATGAGAATGAGAGAGAGAGAGAGGTGCAAAATTTTCTTACTCAATTCAACACTCGCAATGGAAGATGGTCTTGCCAAACCACCGGCGCCCGGTTGATTTCTTATGCACACGTGAATCGGTAGGAGGTTTGATACTATAAGGAGAGATGAGGATTCGATCCATCAAGTTCAATTTCGGGGCTTCCAATATTGCTCTTGGTGAAGATAGAGCCCACTGCATAGCCCATATGGCAAGGGGACGCATGTAAATGACTGATCGATAGTGACCATCAATTGTCCACGCTTCTGGGGTTTGGAACCAGTAACTAATGACATTGGAAACCAAAATGGAATAGTAAATCAGAAATAAAAAAGTGGATATAATTAGGAATTTAATTACATGGAAACAAAATAATTTTCAGTTAAGACAGTAGCTAACAACATGCAACCCAAAAACGATTAGTAAATTGAATATGTAATTACTAAAAAGGAACAAGAAATGGAAACAAAAGCACACATTAGGTGCAGCAGTAAATTTGATATTAAATTATTCCACTCTAATTAATGAGCTTAACCATGTACTAATCCATAGTCTACATTCAAATATTTCAGTAAATGAACATATTCCCAGTTTTAGAGTGGAATTCAACCAGACTGAACCTGGATACATGGAATCCCAGAAAAAGCAACACAACATATATTTCAGATGAAGGGGAAAGATGTACACCTTGCATGACGTGCATCTTCCCTAAATCAATAGAATTAACAATCATTTGAAACAATAGAAGACACTATTAAGGAACAGCCTAATTGACTAACACTTAAATTTTTTTTAATCAAAGTCCATTTGCAACACCATTTATAAATTTAGTGGATAGTTCCTCAGAGACTGGTACAAGAACAAAGGCAAATCACGTAACAATGAAATCAATTGCTATTCCAGATCACCAAGTCAAATCCATGTGTGGTTAGTGGCCAGTTCCAGTGATCAGCGTGTGAGTGTGCGAGGGGGCACGCTCGCACGTGCGCTCGAACACGCGTGTGAGTGCGCGTGGGGCAGCTCGCACGTGCGCTCAGACACACGTGTGCGTGTGTGAGTGTGTGAAGGGGCACTCTCGCACGTGCGTGTGTCATGTGTTACGTGTGTGTGTGAGCGTGCGTGGGGCACGCTCGCATGTGCGTGTCATGTGTTATGTGTGTGAGTGTGCGTGGGGCACGCTCGCACGTGTGCTCGGACACACGTGTGCGCGTGTGAGTGTGTGCGGGGGCACGCTTGCATGTGTGCTCGGACATACGTGTGCGTGTGTGAGTGTGTGAGGGGGCACTCTCGCACGTGTGTGAGTGTGTGAGGGGGCACTCTCGCACGTGCGTGTGTCATGTGTTACGTGTGTGTGTGAGCGTGCGTGGGGCACGCTCGCATGTGCGTGTCATGTGTTATGTGTGTGAGTGTGCGTGGGGCACGCTCGCACGTGTGCTTGGACACACGTGTGCGCGTGTGAGAGACTGAGAAAGGAATAAAGAAACATCCCAGAAAAAGAAACTAATTCTAGAAAAGAAACTATGGGTTAAGGAACTCACCCGTATCCATCCTCAGACCATCCTGCACGAAATATACCCTCTGCAGTAGTGAAGCCCTGGTGTTCCAATCCAGCATGGATCATAGTTGCTGCAACACTATATGTGACTCCGGTCCATATCTCACGAGACTGCATGCAAGTAACATCAACCTTTCCATCTGGGCTCATCCCATTGACCGCACCCATTCGCCCTCCTTTAACTCTCATCACATTGTAATCATATATTTTTTGGAGAGCGCTTCTAATCTTGGCTTCATCAAAGAGGCAAGGCAAACCCGATCCGAAAGTATACCATTGTCCAGCCAATTGATCAGCCTGTATGGACTTGCCATTGCTACTCGACCCAGTATCATAATTGAAGTATGATCCATTCCACAATTTTGCTTCAAAAGCAGTTTTAGCCCTATGCAGTTGGTTTTTGTACTTCTCAGCATAGGCCCTGCAGCCAAGACGAACCGCCATCGCAGCTGCAGCTTGAAGGGCAGCAAGCCATAGGCATCCACAATATGCACTGACACCATGAACTGTCCAAGTATCATAGGTTTGATCTGGGAACCCATCATTCTCGATTAGGCCATCTCCGTCTCTATCAAACTGCTCCATATATTCCATTGCAGCACATACTGCTGGCCATACATCTCTTGCGAAGGCCATATCACCAGTTGCAGCAAGATCTCTATATACTTGAAGAACAAACTTTGGGTTAAGATCCTTCCATTTACTAGTGTCATGTATATTATATGCATTCATCTCATGCCAAGGGTCATGGGTGCCCAAATCATGAGGAACTGCACCTCTGATTTTGCGGATCCCCCAGTTTCCCTCAGCAAGAAATTTTACTTTTCTTCTATCCTCACTTAAAACAGCCCTTGCGAAGTCTCGTTGTATACTCAACTCAATCTTAGGGAAAAGATCCAAGAGAGCAATTGAGGCATAGAAGTGCACATCATACGTGCACCACATGATGTACTCTATTCCTTCTAAGTATAGAAAACGCCCAACATTATCGTCTGAATTTTGCAAATGAGGATTCTGTGAATTATATCCATGACCATGATTAGTTTTGCCTTCCTGAGTGGATGAACCATGATTGTCCAACGGTCCGCTCACTTTAACTTCTCCACCATCGACTGAACTGTCAATGGGTTTATTTATGTCCATAAAATTGCTCTGGCTGTCACTATGAACTTCAACTGCAGGAGTTGGTTCCCCATTTTCTGTGGCAACTTTCACAGTCACACCCTTGATCTCTGTTCTAGGTTTTTCAGCAGAAGAACAGGTGTTCGACTTATCATCTGAAGGTATATAATCAGTATCTGAGGACATTAAGTAACAATGGTTACAGAACACTTATAAGGACTAATAAGAAATCAAATGCTACTAACATATTCGGAAAAAACAAAAGACCTCTCACAGGATTTTAAGGACATCACATCAAAGAAAGATTAGGTAATGCACACCACCCCATATTGACAATATGCACTAACACATGCTGCTGCTTCTTTTTTTTCACCAAGTAACACATTCTAAAGAGAGAAATACAAATTGCATGCCTGCATTTATCATCCAAGTAAATATGCTCACAAAATACTCAAGAATAAAACAGGAAGTATATAACATATGGTATCCAACTGATTTTACTAGTCAGCCGTTCGTGGAAGGAATAGTCAATTTCTTGAGGTGATGCCATGGGTTCTAGAGGAGGAATTGAGATGAGCTGGATCAAATCAAAAGGGAAAAAAAATAAAAAATCTAAGGTAGCTTAACTGCTTGAAGTTGTAAGATCTTTACTTTGCCCGTATCAAGGATGAATGGTTAAGTTTATATTTTCAAAGGTTCATGTGAAATGGTCGTGAATATCTTTCTATTTATGGTTCTTGTGAATAATTTGATAACCTTTTTTTATATTTTTTACAGAATCATGTAAGCAATCAACATGGATCGCACAAGTATATTGCATGAAATGTGAGTGGATAAGTCAACAATTGCATGTGAGAACATTACAAATTTCTTTCAATTTTTTATTTTTTATAAATGTTCTCCTTTCCAAAATATTTATTTTTATTTTTGAATTCTATTTCACTCAAAAATTCCACTGCCCCTTCCTCAAAGCAATCTAAACTCCAAAATCGTCTCTTTACAAGGCATAATAATCGAAGCAAACCCATGATGAACCTCAAAGACTTTCTTAATGATAGGCATAAAAATGTATGCAAGGACAAAATAAACCACAATTAAATTTTATCCCTAGTTCCCTAGCTACAACTTAGACGTGACTCTTTCAATGTACATCAGAAGGTTAAAGTTTGCAAGAACCATCACTCAATAGAAAGTTACCCTGATACTTCCTAGATAGGCAATTAACAGTCTCCAAATTTAGTAAAAATTATTTGCATGTAAATGAGCAGATGAAGTTTTAGCTGAAGCACCCCAAAGTATCCGCACTAAATATGACTCGTTACCAACAAATAACCTGCCATAACTGATCTACTTTTCAACTCGTTGACACCCAAAGAAGTAGCAATGTTTGGACACCAGAAATCAGAGAACGACAGTAATGTGGGGCAAGTAGAAGTTAAGGCTAAGCCAGCTAGCCAAAACTATTTTTCAAACAAATAATAATAACAATAATCATCATCATCATCATTTTAGCTTCTTCCCAATTAATTGGGATCGGCTACATGAATCATGGTTCTCCATTCTGCTCTATTGAAGGCCATATCCTCCATGAGGCCATAAGTCTCCATATCTTTTCGGACTACTTCCAACCACGTCTTTTTGGGCTTACCCCTTATCCTTTTCAGTCCCTCTACTTGAACTAATTTGCACATCCTAGCAAGTGTTGTACTTGGTCAGCGCCATTCATGGCCAGCCTACCTAAGTCTACTCTCTCTCATTTTATCGCCATTTGGTGCCACGTCTAAATTCTCTGGAATGGATTCATTACGAATTCTATCCCTTCTTGTCTTGCCACTCATCTATCTCAACATCTTCATCTTCGCTACACTCATTCTATGGGTCTATTGTTTCAAACAAATAATAGTACATTCCTTAATAATTCCCAGCTACAAAATCCTGAATAGTGAGCTGGCTAACGTGATCATCAATGATGAACCTCGTATGTAATAATAGCCTACTGTTTTTACAAAAAGCACTAGAAAAAACTCATGATTGCATCTTTCTATCACACACAAAAGGCACATCGTATACAATTTTTAAGAACAAGTTAAAGAAATGGCTCATCATATAAAACAAAAGCCTATTCTAGAAGAAGAAGATTTTGGATTTCATGAATATAAAAAAAAGAAGAAAAGAGAATAGCATATGAAAAGATGTGCACCTATCCAAACTGGCCCACCGGCAACAAGAAAATACAGCTCATTAAATAAAGTGAATTTGTACCTGAGAAAAAAAAAAATCAGATTATTTCAACCTCATGAATGTTCGAACTTCTGAAGATAGTTATTGAACCACTCTATCCTAGTTGACAAAGAAATAAAGTCCAGTGAAATAATTACCATTCTGGAAGTCTTTCATCCCTGAGAATAGGATTTTGCCATTTTTCAATTTCCTCCTCCCACAGATTATAATCTGCAAGCATATCAGCAAGATGGGTAAGTATCAAAGATTCACGTAATCTGATAAACCAGCAAAATCATGACAATCATAAACAAATAACAGCCTCTGAGTCCCCAAAAGAAGCAACAAGCCAATGTACATACTCATCAAAGCATCATGCACCAATTTTACTGCTGATCTCTCAGAAGTGCCATAGAACTTAGTGTACCTCCTGAAATGGAGGCAATTAAACAGACATAAGACATTAATATTTTCAAGGGCATTCCTTCAATTGAAAAGTAAATCTTTAACATGGGCTTAAAATACCATCAACATGTTCATATAGGTCATTTAAACCAATCAAATGAAAAGAAAAATGAATGTTATAAAATAATTAAAACAAGATTATATATTCCCTCAGATTCAGAAAACAAACTGAATCTAAGCAAGCGATGGCAGGCATTAAGAGAATGCATTACCTGCGATATGTACTCCCTTTGAGAAACTTAACAAATGGAGACGTCCATGCTAGCCCAAAAGCCACAGTGCACTTTCCATGAGGTTCCACCCAGGCAGAGGCAGAAACTGCAGCACAAACGGTCTCTCCAGGTAGAGAAGGCATGCTAGGGCCAGAACTGAAATTTCCTTCATCAAAACTTCCTTCCTTAACATAAGAAACATGAATATAAGTGTACAAAAATGGCCAAAGAATGTGAGACTTATGAATGTCTAACAGTATAGAATAACAAAATGCTTATATAAACAAGAAGCCTCCCTTAAGGATGTCTTTTAACAGAAACAATAACTAGCCCATTAAGAACACAACCAAGATAATTTGACATATATAACACAGTAGGAGAAGACACAAAATCACTGAGATTTTAAGATGGTTTCCCTCACAAATATGTATAATGGAATTTTAGTAGAATAGAAATATCACATGGAATAGTGATTATGGCCAAGGCTGCAGCTACCTGCATCATGGTTCCCCACGTTTCCTTAGCAGATATGCAACCTCCATCAGAGATCCCAAAGGATGGTAAAACAGTTACATTGACATTCTGGGTCTGACAAGCAGCAATGGCAAAAGTAACAGGAGGATTATCCTTTGCCGTTCTGTGTATATCTGGCATTATTAGCAACAACCACAAGAATACAAAAAATTGATGCGTCCTTAACTAACATCATTTTGTGATGGAAAAATAAAATGATCTTGAAAAATTTTTAAGAACAGAAAGCTATAATAACACCAAGCAACTTCCGACAATCCTAAACACAGTTTCTAATAGCCAGAAAGAGAATTCCAACACCCAAAAATTCATAATTCTACACTTGCAAAACCCTTTGGAATCGGTAAATGTAGAAAGAATTGGGTTGGCAGTTTCCGGCGTCTCAAGACAAGACCTAAGGGAAATCTGCAAACCAACCGTCATATTAGAGCAATCAAGGGTTGACAACTTGCTTGTGATGTAGCAGTACTCCGGACACTCCATCATCGCTTCTACAGAAGAGAAATAGAGGAAACATTCAATAATATTTAACAACAAGCCATAAATTAGTTATATATCACTCATAGAAATCAAATAAGTTATCCAATACTCACGTAAATGGTTCATTGACATGACCCCCTGAGAGATTCGGGATACCAATAGAGTTCTGTGCAATACACAAACCAGAAGGGCAAAATGTAACAATTGCAAGAAAACTGGGCATACATATTTCTTGTTAAATTGCTAAAATGAAGCCATAGGTCTGAATGTTACCGCCCAAGTAAAAAGCAGGCTGACTTTTGCCCTCTCCTTCCCAGTATTAACCAACTACAATAAGAGAAAAACATTCAGTAATTACATCAGAGAACACCAAACATGAGGAAACAATGAAGCATGACAGACACCATACAACCTTTTGCTCTTTTTTTCACATAAGGGTTGATAACTGACATTAACAGCTGAGAGATTGATAACCTCTTAAAGTACAATTTTCCAAATAATAACAATGATGATGATCATGATGATGATTATGGTGGTGATAATATGGCTTGTCTGCTATGCGTTCATAGGAACAAACTGTGGACTACCTCCCTCAGGCGAAAGACCCACTCAGGAGAACTTTTTGATAGACCCACTAACGAGAACTTTTTGATAGACCCACTAACGACCTCAAGACTCACCACATGAGTAATTTCACCACACATACAGAGAGAGAGAGAGAGAGAGAGAGAGAGAGAGAGAGAGAGAGAGAGAGAGAGAGAGAGAGAGAGAGAGAGAGAGAGAGAGAG